GAGATAAACACACTTTTAGTGTCGTTCTCTTATAGGGCGTACTCAGGGAGATTTTCTTTCTTTCTTTTTTTTTTTTTTCTTTCTTTTTTTTTAAAGAGTATTGCACTTTGGGATGGTAATTGAAGTGTGCCATCAAAACCTTGACTCATTTTAAAAAGGAGGTGGAATATATGTAAAATGCAGATTTGAATAGTCTACATTTGTAAGCCTAGCACGCAATCAAACCCGCTCATTTTGTACTTTCCCCCCTCCTCTCTCTTTGCTATAATCATTGGGAAAGATTATGGATAAGTCAAGTCAAAGAAAAGGTTTTGACTAGAAGCGTTAAGTGAACGCAGGGATGTCTATATTTTCTATGAAGCACGCTCTTAAATAGCACCTAGGACTGGATATTGTTAGCAATAGCAGACATCAATATAGTTGTCACTCGTTCTCTTTTGCAAGTCTAATGCTAATTCATATCTCCGGGTATTGTATGTTCACGCAGACCTTTGCAACATAACAACCTTCTCGGAGAGAGCTCGGCATTCCCGAGGAGGAAATCGCCTCTTAGCGCCAGAAGACTAGGGTTTGCGAGGGCACACAGGCGAATTCAAACACAAGGTACGATCAGTTTCCCGAAGATCAGAACCGACAGCAAGCAAGCAGGCGTGACGGCCACGAGAAAAAGCCACCTTTTCTCTCTCCAGGCAGTGAGTCCAACTCCGAAGAGTCCTTGGCACCCGTGCCTGAGAGAGACCCCCGCACCAGAACAGCACACCGAGCCCCACAAGGTAAAAGAGCCTCTTACTTTTTGGTGGATCTCCCATGTCTCCCATATCTGTGAGAGGGAGTAATGTCCACAGTGAAATGGTGGTTGTACGGCTGGTGAACAGCCCACAGAGAGGATGCTGGAGCTGTGGCTAAGTGGGAAACAGTGGCCCCTGGGGTTGCCCGGCCTGGGGGAGCCGTTGCCCGGGGGCGCCGCGCCCTCGCGGATCCGGGAGTCCACTCTCAGCCGGCGGAGTTGGCGGAGCGGAGGCGCAGCGGCTGCGGCGGACTCGGCGCGGCTCGGGCACCTCTCTTCCTTATCTCTTACTCAAACTTCTCTGCTCCAACTCAGCTCCATCGCCATTGGTCTGACGCAGCGCGCGGGGACGTCAGACGAGGGCCGCGCCCATTGGCTGCGGGGCGCGCGGCGCAGCTGTTCTGATTATCATATTTCAGCCCCGCCGCCGCGCTGCGCCACTGCCCGCCCGCGAGCCCGCGGGAGAGGATTAGGGCTCCCGAGGCCGCGCGCTCGGCGCGGGCGCAGCCTGTTCTCCCCGGCGCTCGGGCTGCCCGGCGGCTCTGACTTTTGCCCTCCTGCGCCTCCTCTGCCGCCCCCTCCCGGCTCCTTCCCGGCCGCGCCGCCCGCGCCCTGGCCTCGGGCCGCGCTGCTCCTTCCGCCGTGCGCTCCGGGGGTCCCCGCGGTCCGCTGGCTGCGTTGAGCGCGGGGCTCACTTTTCTTTCGCCGGTGGCGAGTGGCTGGTGGGTAGGTCTTCCTCTTGCCGAGGTCCCTCCCGGGCTCTAGGAAAAAGGGAAACTTGGATCTGGCCGTTGAGCTCGGCGTGGCCTCTCTTGGTAGCGCGCAGTCCTGGGCCGGGCCGGGCCTGGCTGGGCCGCCGGGTCGCGTGAGTCCCTAGCGCACCGGCTGCCCTCGGCGCCGGGGAGGGGAAGAAGCAGGAATAGGACGATTCGCTCACCCACCGTGCAATTACCCTGTCACCCCAGTCTCAGATCTCCAAAGCCATGGGGTGGGCGGTAAGGGGCGCTTTTGCCGCCGTAGCGGACAATTGAGGTTGGAAACGCGCAGGTAAAGCCAAGTTAACTCCGCGGACAGCTTCTCTCTCCTTTCCACCTGCGAGGTCTACTTTCCAGTTTAACTCTAGAATTAAAGCATGTGCTAACCTGAAGCCAAAGAGCGAAATGATTTCCCAGTAGCCTGAAGTTTGTAAAGCGATCTACTCTGTCCAGTTACTCTCGCCGCTGTTCTTTTTTTGCCCTTTGTTTTTAAACAAACGCGCAGTTAGTGGGGTTTTGATCATTTAAAGCAAGTCTCCACGTTTCTTGTTTTGTTTTTTTAAACTTACTCTAAGGAAGGGGTATATTATAGAATAACAGCAAAATGCCCATTTCTCTTCACTGTGTATATCTGATAATTTTCTCTCGGGAAAAATCTGGAGAGAAGATTGTTGTCTGGTCGCACCGGTAACTTTTTTCATTTTTTTACATGGTCTCATCATCTCTTCCACTCTCCCAAAGAGAAAGTCACAAAGCCCACGAAGAGCATCCCCTCCCCCAAAGCTTCTAAACAGCTATTCCTTATCTACTGAGTCTGCCAGTTTTATCTTAAAAAGCCTACAAACACAAGCTGTAGAAAGCTTAATTTCGGTGTCTTGTGGCGGCCAGAAGACCCGGTGGGTTAGGAAACTGCTTTCATTGTATCTTTCACCAGATCTAGTCCTTGATAAGACCTGTGGGCCCTCCTCCAGCCTCAAAGGCAGTGTTTGAATGGCACTGCCTCTCAAGAGCGCAGAGAGCATCTGAGAAGCGTGAGTTCCCTTCTGACTTGGCTGGCTGGGGCTTTACCAAGAACTCATACTTTTGTATTATTTTCTCTCAAGGAAAACTTCAAATCCAGATCTCTTATCTCCCATTTTTATTATAAATTATGTCGTGTGTGTGTGTGTGTGTGTGTGTGTAGACTAGAGAGTTGGATTGATCTAAATTGATGAATTTACGGATTGTGTCTTGTTTTGTTGGAGTCCACGTTTTTAGTCTCTGGTATTCTATGCATGGAGCCTTTTATCAAGCTGCGTTTGCAAAGCCAGTGCTGATAATTACTATACAAAGCTAGTCTTTCCACTATATGGGCATGTTTCCCACATAGATAACCAAGTTGACCTTAGCTAAAGAGATACCACCATAACGCTGCAAAACAAATAGCGAATTTGCCGAACCAATCATATCTCTTCATGCCTCCTTTATAACATGAAATTAAACACCAAAAGTGGTGGTGACTTATACTTGAGACTTTCGCATTCCATCCTCCTGTATACTACCCCCAGTCACCCCATAGATACACAATGTGGTATTTTAACTCCCTTCACCCAAAAGCTATTACCATGAATTATTGTTGATGACAGCAATTCCAAGTAGAAAATCTAGCCCGTGACTTGGAAAAAAATACCTTCAGTAACGGGCAGTTTTACCAGAATGGTGAAGAAGCGTTTTCCTCTTCTTAGCTCCCACACTTATTGTAAACAAGTATTTTCATATTTGCTAAACTGATGGAAACAAGGATCCATGCATAAGATACTTCCCTCAAAGGGAGAAACTTGGAGAACAAAATAATTATGTTGTGCCTTGATGGATGTGTTCTGGAGTTCTATGTCTATGAATAATACATTTTTCATCAAAATCAATGGACACCAAGCAATATTGTCTCTTTACTGGAAGTTCTGAGGTGACCAAATTCTTCCCGTTTTACTTCGTTGTTTGCTGTGTGTGGATATAGTACATCAATTATATTTGTAAAATTTTTAGTTTTATCGGACACAAACAACTGTAATTACATAAAAGTGTGATTATCACTGTTTTTCAAGAGTACTCGATCACAGGAGCGACCTCTTGTGTTCAAAGAGGGGATTAGATACTTTTCTGTCAAAATTGGACTCATTTTGACCTTTGTATATTCTATTAGGTCAAAAATTATATCCTTCCAAACAGCAGTGATGTGAATTCCTGGTTTGAGCTTCTTTACTGACAAGAGGCAAATAAGACTGAGTAGTTATTTAGGGTAGTACTGATCACTTCAGTCCAACCCCCCCCCCATACTTTACAGTGTCTGAATACAACAGGGATGCTGAAATTTAATAAATTCCTCCTGAGTCTATGACGTCTACCCACATGCTCTTGTACACCTTCCAAAATGCAGTGGTTACCCCAAACCTCCTGGGGAGCTCTTATGCCTAAGTTTTCCTGTGCTGTTTCTTTCTTTCGCTGCTTTAATTAAAATTTAAAAACTCTAAGTCAAACTTAATGGTAGATGCAAACTCCTCGACAAACATCATGAAATCAAGCCACTTTCTACAAATCTAAATAGATTTTAATTGTAATTGAAATGTACAGTGAAAATTGTTTATTCCTTAAAACCTCTGGCAGATAGAAATGAATTTTCAGTTGGTTCTTTGAGGATTTATGTATGGTGAAAAGCCTTTTTCATTCCTATGTAAGCAAGATTGGGAGAAAGAGAGGGTCTGTGATTAGCTTTCCTTGAGATATGTTTGGGAATTTATTTCCAGGGAGGCCATGCACTGTGCTGAGCCCACCCTGAGACTGGGTTTGAGAGTAAAAAAATTAGGCTGCCAGTTTCAATGAATAAGGTATTCAGATGGGAAAAAATATGTGTAACAGAAGGATTTATGTTTTCTGATCTCCACAATATGTAATTTGGAGGTCAAAATAAAACAAAAAAATTTATTCAACTCTGAAAATAGATGTTCAGTATATTGTATCTAGGTTCCGTTTCTCCATTTTGCTTTTTCCATGAAGTCTCTAATCATGTAGAATAAGGCTATATAAGCCATTGGTGTCTTTAATCATGTCCAAGGGTCAGACAAAATTGTATGTGATTAAAGGGAGTCAGGATTAACTATTTATGTGCCACCGGGAATGGGATGTGGGTGTTAGCACTAATTTGCCTTTCTTCCAGTTGGTCCTTTATTGAAGATGGATCAAGTGAATTTGTTCAAATTTCAGAGAAAAAGAGTGTCTGGTCATGTACCACTGGGTATGAAGTGATTACTTTCTTTCCTTTTTACTTAAAAAAATATGGCACCAAGCTATGATAATAAAGGTAGTTGTTAACAATAACAAACCTTTGTTTGTGATTATTTTATTGCCTAAGACTCCTGCTGGGAATGTGGTTTTGTTGAGTGTCGAGTGCTTTATTAACCAGTTGAAACAATCCGGATGAATTAGCAAGAATTTTCCTCTACAATCAGAGCTTTTTAGCCAGCACTTTCGAGTTCAGGTAGTCATTTGTGTCTGTCATCAGCGTTCCTGGTATTCTCTACTGGGAGACAGGCTGTCCCTGAAGGCAGCAGTCTGCTGCTCGCTTCTCAGCCGAGATAGAACAGCGCGCTCCCGGCAGCGGCGAAGCCACAAACTCCAGGTCAGTTCGGATCATGCCAGGTCCCGCAGCTGAGCGCGGGTAGGAGTTTGGTCCAGTCCAGCCACGACAGAAATTTGCACCTCCCTTTCCAGTGGTGCTTTTGGAAGTGTTTATTAGGATTTCTCAAAATCGGCTGAAACCTTTGTCAAAGGAAACTGCCTTCCCACTCTCTTTGAACTCCTAGACCTAAATGATTAGGAACGGTGGAGTTGAGCTGAATTCTAGTGGAGCCCAGGTAGCGCAGTGTGCTGACTAAGCACAGAGTCCTGCATCTGGCAAAGCGTTCATTAAATGTATTGGGGTTTTGTGGAGGTCGTTGGAGTCTTAGAGGCGAAGCTTTTTCTCTCCTAGGTCCTGAGCGGTTTGGCTGCAGTGTTTCACGTCAGTACTGAATCTTGCAAAACACCCACAGGTCCGCCCGAGCGCTAGGGAAACCCAAAGCACGTTAACTCAGGGTAGCTGATCAAATTAATCAAAACTAGCTGATCGGCATTTCTTAACAAGGAAAAAAAAAAAGGCACGTGGAGACCCTTTCTCACACTGCAGTCCTATCCAACAGGCTGCACTGAATTTACAGCCAAAGGGTTGTTTCTCTCCGGCTGGAGGTTTGCCGAGGACGAGGGGGAGGGTAAGGGAAGGTACCTTAGAGGAGGTCAAGAGGGAGAGGAGGAGCAGAAAATTACCAGCCCAGCCGCAAGGGAGTTGGGAGCCGGAAATCTACCTACCGGGATGCCTCAAATAACCTCCCTTTATATCTCAGAATCAGCGTCCCTCAACAAAAAAAACGGCCTCTCAGGGTGGCCTGGGCTGGAGTACCAGGGTGGGCTGCGGAGGTGATGTCAAGTTACAGCTACTTTCCAAGAATTAAACTGGCTGCCCCACCGAGTTGGGTCGCGTTGGGGTGGCTGGGAAGTGCGTGGATGTGGGCTGTTTTTAAAAGGATGGGAGGGACTCTTTAGTGGTATCTACCAGTAGATTCTGAGTACATGCAGTTTCGGGGCTGGAGCAGAACTTTCCAAGACCCAGTAAAAACCTGCTTAGTTCAGGAGATAGGATTTGGGGAACAACGTTGAAAGTCGCTGTCTGCAGCCACTCGCTACATGGAGGTGAACAAGCGAGCTTGTGAACTGCAGCCCCGTGTGCGTGGAGAATTTTCTGTGCCTCCAAATCCAGGCTGTTAGAACTCTCTTGGCGACATCACGTGAAGAGAAGAATTCACTCTACCTCTCCCCATGAAAAACACCAACGGAGAAGGGAAAGAGGACCAGAGAGAAGGCCCTTTCTGAAAGAAGGTCCCTTGATCACCTCGCCTGGGTTATTAACTTGCTCCTGAAAGGGTCAACAACGCCTTCCCTGTGCGAGGGTCCAAGATCAATCACGCTGCCCCAGGTGGCCTCTTGTTGAAGCCTCAGAACTCTGCTTCTGCGGCCCTTCTCAGCCTCAGACGTCCTGCGATAAAGGTCTTTGCAAACTGCCCACCCACCCGCCCGCGTTCAAGCACACATAAGTCTAGAAATTTAACCCAGTCTGGGAAAGGCCGAGCGATGAGCTAAACAAAGAGCCCCTCCCGTAGGCCTCCTCCCTTCCCAATTGCCTATTTGCCAACTTTCTCACTGGACACATCCTGACCTCAAAGTTCTGAGCGCAAAGGTATTTTCATTCCAGTCCTGGAGACACAGGTGGAAAAATCGAACAGAATGCATCTCTGCTCTAATTCTGCTAGAGAACCAGCGTCTCACGGACTTCTCTCCCTTCCCATGGTGAGCACAGCCCCTGATAGGCCGCACTGAGTTTCCTAATGTAAATCTGCTTGCTACCCACGTCGGGACTGGGTGGCCTTGGTCGAGCTTTGGTGGGTCGGAGTAGGACCTCAAAGCGGAGGTGAATCCTGTTAGGAGTCACTGGAAACAGAAGCTCATTATGTATGGGGCGAGGGAGTTCCTGTGTCACGGGGCTGTTAACAGGGAGTCTTCCCGCTTCCAAAAGGCAAAAAGTGGGAGAAGAAAGGGTGAGCTCATCAGTGCAACCCGTTCCGGCAGGGTTAGCTTTAAAATCTTAAATCGGCCCCCATGACGTTCATATCCCGGTCTCCCAGTCTTCCCCGCAGAGGAAGACCTGCAGAAATGAATGCATCAAAACACTTCTTCAGACAGCCGGATCACCTTCTCTCCCATCTGTCAGAGGCCGAGCTTTCCGCTGAGTAACTGCGTTTCAGAAAAGTGAGGACAGCGTTTCCTCTGCGTTTGTCATGGTGGCAACCTCCAGAAATGATTAAAGGTTATTGTACAAAATGTTTTATTTTTCTTTCTTGAACAGTACCTTAATGCTGAATGCCCTCCCCCCACGTAGGCGCCCCAGTGTATTAGTTGGCCTTTTTCAGGTTTATTTCCTTCACTTTATGGTGCAAATGTTTAATTAGAAAACAAGAGAGAGCCCCCCACAGCGCAGATGCTCTCCTGTGCTCTGCTGTCAGGGCGGGACTCTGGCAGGCTGATTAGCCAGAGGGGCGGGCTCCTTTGTTGATTTAAAGAGTTTACTAGGCAAGAAGTAATTATCTTGTTGTCTTTTCTCAATTGTCTATCATTGACTGATACCTGGTACGCATTTATGGTTCGATCCAAAACTGAAAAACAAAAAATTTTAACTTAAAAAGATAATAAAGGTAACCAAAATCTATTTAAAATTTAACTGGCTTTATCACACTCTAGTACAGGAAAGGTATCTAAAGTATATAGCGTATCATTTATTATAATTACCAGGCAATTATATGCTAATGATAGTACCATTTTAAGATTACAAGAGAATTCCATAAAGAAAAAAATGGAAACACTATTGCTAATATGCATAAAATTCTCCTTCCAAAAAGAAATAATTGGCAGACTTAAAATGATATTCAAGGATGCTTTCATGAAGAAAGTAGAGCAAAATCTGAAACATCATGAACTAAAAATTCTATGAATTTGTTCCGGACCTAGACTATTACCAGTAAATGCTATCAGAATATATGTTTCTGTTTTGTACACTGTCTTTCAATGTGCATAAAACATACATCTTCAAGTTTGCATTTAAGTTTGTATGTTACTACTTTTTGTGAAATATATAATCACACCACATCAACAAGAAGTAGAACCTGAAAAAGTCCTAGATAATGCTTAAGGAATAATTGTGATTTAACAATATTGCATGATCTTTATTTAAATGTAAATGTTACTATAGTACAGTTAATACAACTCTAGATAATATAATAGCTTCATGATTTATAAGAAATCAATATAAAGTGAAGTACTTCTATAGTTTCTGGTTAAAGGCATATTATCAAAATATAGGAATGTAATAAGATTTATTTATGTAACAAATATGTAGCTGTTATCAGATAGTTCAGTCAAGTTATAAAAACACTAAGCTGTAATTTGATGCATAGTTTAATAGACTATATAGCTAAGATGATGTTTTCCCCTCAAGAATCCCTTGCTTCTCCCCAGAAACAGGAAAATCCCTGCACCTTAATCTGTAATGCTAAGTCAGAAATCATGTGATTACTCATAACTAGTCAGCCTGACTTTCACTTAAATATCAGGACTCAAATTATTTTTTGGTCTCACTCTGGAGTGACATACATACAATGTACCATTTCATCTTGGCCAGGTCTTAGGATTTATTGTACACTCTCCTTCTTATGAGCTACACAAACCATTAGTGATGAGAACCACTATATATAGCACGTAGCTTTAGATTCTCATTTGATGTATAAGAAAAGGTATAAAGCGTATCTTTTAGGCCATTACATTGTGTTTCTTCCAGTCCTGAAATGTTGACTTAGCTGTCCCAAATGTCACATGATGTGCCCTTGCATAGCCTTCCCTCCGAACCATAGCAGATCTGCTGATGTGAGTTTGGATGTCCTATACTTGGGCAAATATATTTTAGACCATGCCAGCGATGAGGATGACACATGAGTACAGCGCACATAGTGGAAGAAAACGTAAGTGGATGGAATATAGAACATTTAAATGTGATGACAGGAAAAGAATTAAGTGCAGTAACTTTATTAGCCATCAAAAATCAGGATGAAAGTAGGTGTGAGCTAAGATGAGCAAAGTACTCACTTTTAAGAAGAAAAAGAGAAAGCTTATTGCGGAAAAGAAAACATCAGTTAAATGTCAAGAGGGACAAAAGAAAGGAATGAGGCATGATGACCCAGTTCATTCTTCTAGAACATGTGTTTAAAAACAAAACTCGAATGTGAGACAAGTAATAGATGAAATTTAGGGAAAAGTGGAATTTATAGTTATTTTAATCTGGCATTAAAAACTTTAAAAATAATGAAATTTAAGAAAAGGATAGTTGGTAGACAAAAATTATTTGGGAATAATTTAAAAAATTTTATTGAATTATATTAGAATCTTTACTGAAGACAGATTCATTATTGGCACAGTGCATCAACATACAAAATACCAATTAGAAGCACTAGCCATGCTGTAACATGGAGTCTTGTGCTATTTCACGCAACTGGGTAGATGTAACATTAGGATTTAGAACTCAAGAGAGAGCACCAAGCTTGAGAAGAATTTTTGAAATGTTTTCAAAGTTTTCCAGAGTTTTGGTTAGTCCTGAAAATTGGATTATATCAGAAAGCCTAATTCAAATATTTGTCAGTTCCCACTTCAACTGCAAGAGAAAGGGGAAGGTGTGGTGAAAACACAGCTCATGCTCCAATTTATGCAAAGCAACTTGAAGAGCTGCCAGCAACCTTGTTGTTATGTTAGCATTCTAACCGGGCTTCACATTCTCTTAGAAGAGCTCCTCTGATGTGAGAAGAATGTGAGCCAAAAGCTTGAGGGAGCATTTCTTGACATGCACCTACACACTTGGGAAGTTAGTTTGGGTGTCCACAGTGATGGAAAGGTCAAATACAGTTGTTCTCATAAAAGCCACTCTAGAGGTCACAGGGTCAGAGTGTTTGTGCCTGTGCACAAACCAAAAGGCCCACGGAAGCCTGATAGGAGGCAGCAGTGCCTCATAAAAGGGGAGAGGCAGCCAGAATCCCACATCTGAACTATGGCTGTTATGGAGAAGAAATATGAGACTGATAACATCCACAGCGACAGCCGTAGGAAGCAGTAGTCACAGAGGAAGATGGGTTGGGGAATTAATCACGGTAAGATCCTAAGCAAACGAGTCAACAGATTCTACCAAGCATGAAATCTCTGCTTACAAGTTTCACAAAATACACTATTTGAAGTACAAATTGATTGGCCAAGGCCAGGTTGATCTTAATACTGACAGAAGGAACTGCTGAGAGTATCCCATGGCAGATGGGAAACACCAAAAGGCTTTTTAATGTTAGAAGTGAAAAAGAAAAATAATTCGTGGTTCACCGGTAGAAACACTCCTGATAACATGTATTAATCAAAATTGCATTCCCCGTAGGTACTCTGGACATTCACTTTGTGGTAGTATCAGTATAGCAGCATTGTTGTTTGCTCTTAGCCTGGGGCTCTCTGGGAGTTCACTTCTCCCCTTTGTGTTCCTAGATTTTGCGTTTTGCCTCATTTTATAATCTCTCATTAAGAATTTGTTTAAGCATAACATGTGATAGGCCACTCTTTGGAAGGCTGAATATGCAGCCATTAAGTTCTGTGGCTGAGAGAGCTGTAGGCTGTGCCCTGATTGAAATGGTCCTCCCTGCAGCATCTTTCAAGATACCTGAAATATTCCTGGGAAAGACTTACTGCTTTGACATTCACTGGGACTTGCAAGTTTTGAGAAGTTTTTCTTGGTTTTGTTTTGTTGGTTTCAATCCAGATGCCAAAGCTTGATATTTTTTCCTGTTTACTCTGTTGTACTATAATGAAGTACATCTGTAAAAAGGGAAAAAAAGAAGAGGAAAGAATCTAAGCATGTTGGTATAACTCCATAATCTCAACTGTCTGGGAAGTTGAGGCAAGAGGATTGCAAGTTCCAAACCAGCCTGGGCAATTTAGCATTTATTGAGCCTTTGTCTCAAAATAAAACCTGAAAAAGGGTTGAAGGGTGTAGCTTGGTTCATGGTCTTGCATTGGATTCCCAGTACCCCTCCCCCCACACAGAGAGAAAAAAACAGAGGAAAAGGCAAAAGGAGTCAGAAGTATCAGAGATGACAGGCCAAAAAAATCAATGACATGAAATGGACTATTACTCAGCAATTAAAAGGAAAGAACTGTTGACCCATGTTATAATGTGGATGTGCTTCTAAATAATATTCTAGTGAAATAAGCTAGATTAAGAACTACTTCTACTGGTATTCTAGGATGTACAGATTAATGTGTGACAAATAGTGTCAGGAACATCAATGGTAGCTCAGGATGGTCAGAGAATAAAAAGATCTTGAGAAAACTTTTGGAGGTGAGAGATGTATTTCTTACTTTAACCTTATGGTAGTTTCATGAGTATTTGCATTTGTCAAAATTACTAAAATGTATTTTTTAGATATGTGAAGTTGGTTGTATGTCAATTGCTCTTCAATAGCTATTAAAATAGACCTCAAGAAACTGTAACTTGTGTTGCTTTACTATTTATTATTATTGATAGTATTATTATTATATAATTTTCAAAATGAAATGATGAGAAAAGAACAAATACACTGCATTGTATGCAGTGAAACAAAATGTTTAAGGAGAGAGAGAAGGAATTTACCTCAATCTAATTGGTTGTTTGGTCAGTAATATTAACCTGTATTTACTGCTGTTTCAAATTTTTAATTTTAAGTGTTTTCCTTTCCTGTTGTATATTACTGATCTCAAGGCATGCTTTCAAGATCTCTTCCTTATTATCTTGCTTCCCTGAAAATAATGTTAACAATCTTTAGCGCTCTCTCTCTCTTTCTTCTCCTTCATCTCCTTCTCCTTCTCCTTTTCCTCCTTCTCCTTCTTCTTTCTTCTTTTTTCTTTCTTCTTTCTTCTTCTTTCTTCTTCCCCCCCTCTCAGCAGTGCAGAATAAACACAGGGCCTACACATTGACTTACATTCCCAGCCTCCACCCCCTCTTTTTTGTCTTTTTGAGACACAGTTCACTTTTTAGCCCACACTAGCCTGGAACTTGCAGGGATCCTCCTGCCTCCCAAATGCTAGGAGGGTACACCACCACCTCCACCCACCAACAGGTCCTTTTTTATGTTTTATTTTGATATAGGATCTTGCTAAATAGCCCATACTGAGCTTGGATTTGTAATCCTCCTGCCTCAGTCTCTCAGAATGTTGGGATTACAAGTGCGCACATTTGTGAGTGATTCTTTTTAGTGAGCAACCACCCT